TCACTGCCGCGGCCTCTCCCGTTGCGGAGCACAGGCTCCGGACGCGCAGGCTCAGCGGCCATGGCTCACGGGCCCAGCCGCTCCGCGGCATGTGGGATCTTCCCGGACCGGGGCACGAACCCACGTCCCCTGCATCGGCAGGCGGACTCTCAACCACTGCGCCCCCAGGGAAGCCCCGCTTTTAGCGGGGAGCGAGGGTGCTTCTTTTCCTCACCACGTGGAGACAGGTGAGGCCCAGGGATCCCTGGGAACTGGTATAAATGAGGGGGCTTCCCACACTCAGAGAGACCCCCCCCAAGGTGATCCCTCTATTGGAATAAGATGCAGATCAGGGAGGGGAGTCTGGAGTGGCCAAGCCAGACCCCAAGGGGTGTCCCCATCTGAAGGCCAGAGTGTGGGCTGAGGAGGGACTCCCCAAACCGGCCCCATCCCTTCTTCCTTCCCCGTACATCTGCCCCAGGGGGTAAACTTTGCCTTTTCCAGAATGGGGAGGGGAAGGGTAGAGCCAGTAAGCCCTCTGCTAGGGTACCCCTGGAACCCCCACCTCGAGGGGAGGACGAGGGCTCTAATCTGCGGGTGGAGGGAGAGGAAGACCCTATCAGCGAGCTAGCCCCCCTCCCCCCGCCGCAAACCATTGGGGCAGCCCCTCCCTCACCACCTTCAACAGGATTCCCGCCCCTGTAGACGCGGCTACGCATTGGAGGTTTGATTCTCTGAACTGCCACTGGGCTTGGACCCTGTGCCAGGGCCCTTTCTGTGTCTGTTTCCCCTTCTCTGACGGGGAGGAGGGTGCCTTCCTGCCTGCCCCAGCTGAGAGCCTGGGGCACATCTGTGTTTTCCATCATAGCGGGAGAGGGAGGTGGGGGTCTCTGAGTGCGAGGGAGGTGGGGAACCAGGATGACCTGACCCCCAGCTTTGGAGGATCAGACAGTAGAATGGCCTGAGCCAAGTCCTGGGGTGGGATAGGGCTAAAAGGGACCCCTCGTAGTGCCTTGTGCTCAGGACTCAGCATTTAGTGGCTGCCTACTTTTTACCAGGCACACACACTCTTCACCAGTTGCATGGCTGCTTTGCTTCTGCCTCAGGTCCAAGGTAGATTGTGGCAGTGATTGTTCTGGTATTCTTCCCAAGGGCCAACACTGCCCCCAGGTCCAGGTCCATGAAGTTTTCAATTCAGGATTTATATATAATTTCAGGTTATATATCAGTACACCCATATTCCAGGTAGGAAAACAGAGGTGGCAGAGATGGGCAGGTCTGGACAAGTGAATATCCCCCTTCCCATGCAGATTCCAAGTCTGGGAGGTTGGGTTCTGGCTGTGCGGGGCTCCAGCCCCCCGCCCCCCATCTCACTCGCCAACAATCACAGCTAATTAAAAATAATCGTGGGATCTAAAAATCAATCAGCCTTCATAAAATGATCGCATCCCAGGCCCAACAAGCGCAGATCAGGCGGGTGCGGGGGCGGGGGGGTCTCTATGGGTGGGAAAGCTAAGGTGGAAGGAAGTACCCCCAAAGTCAACCAAGGGGTGCTCTGTGGGGGTCAGGACCATGCAGCCTTTTACCTCCATCTTTATATAAATATTTCCTCCAGCTTGATTATCACTTTCATTTTTATAACAAGCATGAGTGCCTTTTCTAACGGGGAAAGCGTCCATTTTGAAAGAGGGAGACCAGCAGCTTTGAGATGAAGGAGCCCCCTCCCCTCTGTTGCCTCAGGACACCCTGAGCACCTCCACTCGGCAGGGGATGCCTGGCGGGGGAACCAGGCTCATCCAGGTGCACGCAGCCCTGCACCCCTTTTAGGCTGGACATTCAGACACCCACAGGGACAGGGATCCCGCTCCCGCAGAGGCTATGGTCCCCCTGGGAGATTGAGCAAAAATTTGCCACCCTCCAGAGAGTGAGCGGAGAGCCCCCTGGAGCTCCAGAACCGGCTTCCCCCACCAGTGGCCTTTTAGTAATTAGTAAAATAGAATTGAGCTGACCACGGACGGGCCGGTGGCTCAGGCCCTGATCGATCTTGGGTCATTAGGCAAATTGCGGCAGGGGGAAGGGTGGGCTGGATGGGGGCAGGGCGACCCGCATCCTCGCCCCTGCCCCGACCTTGGCCACGTGGCGGAAGCTCTCTGGCCTCAGTACCCCGTCCAGGAAAATTGGAGTTTGACGCTTGGAGCCCGCGTCTGCGCCTGGGGGGTGCCTCGGCCCACGCTGGGCTGCCTCTGTCAATGCCCACCCTCTCTGTGCACAGCTGGGCCTGGGAGAAGCCGGGAAGTGCAACTCCGCATCCCCCTAACCCGGGGGCTTGCAGCGTCCAGCAAGCGGCAGGGAGGCTTGGCCGGAGCTCGGGCCTCTTCCCTGCTCCGGGGGGCCCAGCCATCTCCTCCGGTTCAACACCCCCAATCTGCCCCAACTCGAATCAGTACCGTCCACCTCCTCTCTTGGACAGGCAACATTCCTTGTTGTTTTGGCTCCAGATCGCAGCCAAAAATATGGGGTGGGGGGAGTGTTATACTCAAAGTTTTCCCCTTCCGGACCTCTGCTAGGCCCCTGCACGGTTCTCTGTTGATTCTGTGATTCGATTTGTCGCCCACGGAAATGAAACTCACCAGCCGCTGCGCACCTTCCTTTTTGTTTAGAGCGAGGTTTTAATAAATAGTGACGATTAATGTCCCCCTCCAGTCCCGCCCAGCCCGAGATCCGTGTCAGCCCCAGGTACAGTCCCCCAAACCTGCAGACGCCCCAACTCCTGGCCGGCTAGCACTTGGCTGGGCCCACGTGCTCCGCCAGACTCCTGCGCCTTCGTTCAGGCGGGGTCGGAGGACTTTATTTAGATTGGGGGTGTGGGGGGAGGGTGCTAGACTTTTCCTGCCTGGCCGGGGGTCCCGGCCCGGCTGCGCTCGCGGGGCCCGAAGGTTCCACTCTCGGACGCTGGGTGTGCGGACATCCCAGCGCCGAAGCTGGGGCGCCGCGACGTTGGGGTTTCGCCGCTGGCGGGCAGAACGTCGCGGGGCGCCGGGTCGCGCTGGCCCGCGGGGTGGATGCTCCCGCGGGCGTGTCGGCGACAGCTGCGCCCGATCGATCCCCGCGCCCGCCCTGGCTCCGTTGCCCGCGCCAACGCCGCGCGGCTCCATCGAATCCTCATCGCTCCTGGGCCGAGCCGCCCGCCGCGCTCTCCGCAAACAGCGCTCTTGTTTGCGCCGCGGAACCCCGAACCGGGACCCCGCGGCCGGCGGGGGGGTTCCCTGGGGCCCCGCGTCCTCATCCTTCTGCCCCAGCAGCTCGGCCTCCGCGGGCCCGGGAGTTCCAGGCTCAGATAGCGGAGAGAATTCCACCCCCA